TCCCCCAGCCAGCCGTGCTGGCTGGGGAATTCTGGGAGTTGAAGCCCACTCATCTTAAAGTTGCTACAGTTGAGAAGCACTTGATTACACTATGGGTTGATAGAATGCTAATGTTACCTCCATAGGAAGTGCCACTTGGATTTTTGTGACACCAGCTTTGCTGGCCCATCTGTATTATGGATCATTAATTTCTGTTAGGTTAGGTGACAGAGTGCTCACCTGCACATTCCATTCCTGTTAAATACCGCTCCTTGTAAATCTCAGAACAATTTCTCATTAAATCAGCATAGCCCCAATTAAGGACAAATGGGTTTCTGAGTCCTAAAGAAAAGATCAATGGCAAAAAAGATGACTAATTTTAGAAGGGAGATAAGATCCACGGGGGCATGACATAAGGTAACAGTTGTATCTCTCAGCTCAGAAGGCCCCTATTTTTTCGTAGCCTCTATGTACCCCTTCCTGCAACCTGCTAAATGTGAGAACCTGGATAGCTTCTAAAACTCATGCACTGTATAGTCATGTAAGTGTGAAGATTTGTGAGTTCAGTTCCTGGTTGAGGGTTTGAACCCCATAGAACAGCACCTGACGACCCATGTCTGATGATTCCCAATAAGGGTGAAACTGGTAATGTGTTGCCTCCTGGTGGTTGATGTAACTAATTCAACACCAGATATGCATGCAATGTGTGCTATATCTTAGGATCCCTATAAGCTGTTGCATTTCACCAATGCTTTGTAATTTATTACATTTTAAAATCAGAACTGTCATTAGTTGACTAGAAGCTTTCTAGTTATCCAGTGAATAGGTTCATCCACTTCCCTCCTGTTTGGCAAGTCCCTGTTCCATTTCAGGCCAGGACAAAACCTGCTTTTATTGCATTTATTTGCGCATATGGCAAATAGTCTGTAGGAGGCAACTCAGCATATAGTTTCAGCAGTTAATACTACTCAGCCGCAAAATGCTGGATAATCAAGCTAACGACTGCATGATCGGTCAGGACTGCAAGGCGTGGTTTCAACAGCTTCATGGGTGTCTTTAAATCTGATTTGTCATCAGAGATTAAGAGATTTCCAAACTAAGAGCTGTGTGAAGTGACCAAAATAGCAGTTCTCGGGTATTGTTTTTCTACACACAAATACATTTATAACACTGGCTACTTTCTCTTCCTTTCCTTCAAAGGCCTTGTCTGTTTCTGAAAAATGAGAAAAATGGATTGTTATACCTGAACTTGCTCTGCTCCTTTAGTTTTATAGTTCTTGCTGTCTAGGCAAGGTATATACAGGTAGTCCCTGAGTTAAGAACACCTGGGTTACAGATGTCCCATAGTTAAGAATGGAGCCTCTTGTAGCAAAATTTGAGTTAAATACACAATGAATTGAGTTAAATACACAATGGTTTGAGTTCATTACACAATACTACTTATACAGTATTATACAATAATACTGTTCCAGCTTATCTACAAATTTGGCTTAAGGATAGACCTTGGGAATGGAATTTGTTCTTAAACTGGGGACTACCTGTATTGATTATTAGTTATACAACATTTGCCATTTCTGTCTAACTCTGGTAACAAGTACCAGCTCTTCCACATATATTAAAAATTAGAGGCTATATCACCTTCATAGGTATGACCCATAGCCTGCAAAACCTGTCCATGCTATTGGTACTGTAGATCTTCCTGTTCCTGATGTTTACAATGCTATTGCCGAACATCGGTAGCATGTCTTGTCTCTGCCTTAGAATGCAACCCTAAGGTACAGTGCGATTACTGTTTTTCGAATTAACATTCATCCTATTTATATCACTTTACTTTCTCTCTTTCTTCACTCACCAGAAGATCTGGGCTGGCAAGTCACTGTTGAGAAATACAGTTTATTTCTTCTAGTTACCTCTAGCAAATCTTACAAGGTTGTGACACCCCATACAGATACAAGTTTGCATAAACATCCTTAATTCCCATTTCCCCCCTCAAAGTAATGATTTTGCAGTCAAGTCCATTCCTTTTTGGATCTTTATGCTTTGAATAAAGTGGCTACTCTGTTCCTGTATGTCATGAAGAAGACATACTAAAGAAAGATTGCCTAACGAGCACTTCTACAAGCAATACTACTGGACCTTATGTGGCAGGTTATAAAATTACACGATGCTTGAAATCATGTAAGAGCCTCTCCCAACATGTAACCCCCACAATGAGTTGATCACATATCCCACCACCCACTACCACCAGAGCTTTTGCTGCCCTGGTGTAATGGGAGTGCCAGCCCATCATACGTGGTAGGGAAGGCTGCTTGTGTTCCCTCTGACTAGGTATCTTCTGATGGGCAGAAGGTGTTATTCAAACTGCAAAGCACTAGGAAAACAGGATAGGTCAGCCAAAAGGCCTGCCTCTTTCCCTGCCTAACACAAAGATTGGAGAGCTACATTTTATGCAAACCGAATGGTACTCTTGCCTGATCTAGTTGGACTATTTGTGAGCAATAGCAGTGCAGATTCTATTGAGCGAGATGGTACAGAAATTGTCATGGAAGAGGAGTACGGGAAGGAAATCCGTGGAAAGTTTGGAAATTACCATGTCAGGAGGATGAGAAACAAGGCTTTGGAGAATATATAGCTATAATCAAAATAAAAAGTCTTAATTACCGTCATAACCAGACACTTTGCACTGTTGACCACTTTTGAACATATACTGTGACCAAGGGATGCATATTGGCACAACGTTGGACGTAGGGCATGAAGATCCTGGGCTCCTGGTTTTCATCTCCACCAAGGCAATATCATTTTCATTTGTTTGGGAATTGTAATATTCATGGATTATCACTCTATTCAATCTAAATGTTTCCATATCTAAATTAAACATTAATGAATTAAGCATCATAGTCCATATTTTATAATCCTGTATATTGTGCAGGCTGCAGAGAGACAGAGGGAGGAAAAGGGAAAGTGTACTTAAAGGTATAACTTGGCAGAAAGGCAAACTTTAGCTTGTGATACATTTGCAGTTGGTTAGTTAAATTGTTTATATAAATTCTCATGTAGCAAAAGGCATCATATACATCACACAAATTATGCAAGTGACATAATGTCCTGGTGGTCTCCCTTTAGGTTACGTATTAACCAGATCTAAACCAGTTTAGCTTTTCTATGATCAGTTAAGTTTGATGCAAAAATATTACACAGTAAAGTATTTAAAAACACTTAAAGGCACTAGCAGCAAATTAGAAAGATGTACTATAAAGCATCCAATCCATTATACTCCCTCTAAATCTACTTACTTAATACACTGCGCAGCAGTCAAAACCCAGCAGCCTCCAATGTAAACTCCACTACAGAGCAAACTTCCAAGTTGATTGAAAATTGCCACATGCCAAGGATACTCATTCTGCAAAAGTGACACAAGACATTCCATATCTCTTCTTGTGGATAGATGTCACCCTTCTTTAGATCAAAGCTGTCTTGTTTTTCATATTATTGCCTTAGGTGTACGGTTTGCTGTTATTTATTCACTTGATGATAATCTACTGAATATTACCCTATACTGTAGATGTCTAGCTGCTGTTTTTAACTGCTGCTCACCTACTTTGCTATTCAGCAACAAAGAATCTTGTATGAAAGAGGTTACTGTGATACACTCATTTTATGTGCTTATCCCAGTGGAGGAGAGGATGGAGACAGGGGCATCGGCGTGGGAGGGGGAGATTCAACAGCATCAAAATTATGGGCATGACTGGATGAGGGAAGCCCCATCCCTTTTTACAGGTGTGCAATGCATGCGATGCACATTAAAAAGGGGAAGGGTTTGATCCCTAGTACTTCTTACCTATCCAGGGGCATGAGTCGTAGCTGCCATTTTGGCTCAGTTGACTCCCCATGCCCCTGGATGGTTAAGAAGTAAAGAGTAATTACATTAATATAATAATTTAAAAATTAGCTTATTGTTTCTTTTTTATTGTATTGAAAAGTTACTACTTCAGCATAGCTTCCTTGGCTAGGTATGTATTCACTATCCTAACTCTTAAATGACCATATGTACAGTAATACCTTGGTTCACGAACGCTTCTATTCGTGAACAATTTGGTTCACGAACAGCACTGTTCGCAAAATGTTGCTTCCGTTCGCGAAATATGCATTGGGT